ATCATCTCCTTGCAGAGCTCTCATTGATAGTGCGTTGTCTATGTAGAGCATACATATTGCTATGTCGGGTGGAATATCCTGAAAAATCCAATGAAAATAAAACTGAAGCTTTTAAAGCAATTTTAGGGCGATTATGTTTGTTGGGCTGACTGGTTTAAATTATAGTAATACATATGCTACAGTGCACCAAATTGGCTGCGCACGCATTCACATTTATGGCACGGTAATGTAATGTATAAAAAAATCCATCGACCTTTTTATCATGCTTCGTGGCAAACTTCGCCCACCTCGGGCCACTCACCAATGACATTTGATCTTGTCCTGTTCGCCACCTTTATCTACTTTTTCCTACGTTCAGGACTTCTTGCGACCGAGTGATAATGGTTATTGGTTAACTCCACCCATTCTGGTGCATGCTCCACCCACCTAGAGCTGTTGATCTACCTTCCGCTGCCAAACGATACTTTCTACTACTTTTTCCCCGGTCCCCAGGAATTCGCTGGCCTGACTTGTAAATTTAGTGGCGAACTCAACCCTAACTTCGATAGAAGGTGACCACACATCCTTCTCAGACTTTTTCCACTTTTTTGGTTTCTGGGACTTCTCTGAACCGCTCTGAACCAAATTGCGACAAATCGTAATACACACTGCTTTCTGAAGTCGAGCTTCGCGTACACTACACAGGTTTCCTGAAAGTTCAGATATGCCGGAGATACCTTAGATACTGCTCTCCTATACCATTTTTTCTTTCTGCTCAAAAGGCTGTCTCCTGACAGAGTTATTACTTTTTCATTGAGCATCGCCCCTTCAGACCCGCAAACCATGAGCGGGTTCCCCAAATTTGACTTGTTAAATTAGTGCACACCTTCACACATTTTTTCCCGGCATTTGGGATGCTCTGTAACGGAACTCGAAGCTTTTGCCGTCAGCACTGCCCAATTTAGCGCGTGCCACGACCACTGTAGGCGAGCATCACCTAACTAATGTATTTGTTCTATTCTTCTTCACCCATATCCCACCCATCCCAAACTTGACCCAGATTCTCTATTTGGTTTTTCAGGTAGTACCGAATTTTGTGACAGACGGACAAAAAGACACACACAGACATACTCAAAGCATATTATAGCAGGGATTGGGTGATGTCGACATGAGA